ATTATCGACACCAGCGATTCCATGAACCCATCAACACTATGTCATCAATTATACTCTTATTTAACGGATAATTGTAAATCAACGTTTGCAAACAATCGTTCTAGTATTTTAGCACACGAGCAAATTATAGCGTTTTTAATTTATTGCTTTTAAAAGATATTTTGGGAATATAAATTTACATTTTTTTTTTTTTAATCGTTGGTAATTTTATATTAACTTGTTAAAAGATTGACCTCGCTCATGCTTGCTCAACCTGCGACATCGCCGTCTTATTGTTCCTCCGGCTTTGTGGTGAAATGAAATGGCCAGCGATGGTAGTGGTGGTGAATAAGTGATGGTCTACCGGACAGGATGTTGCCTGGGAGGACCCAGCATCTCCGGATATAATTAAATTTTGATCCTGGGGTTCCATCAGGCTCGTGGAATATTAAACAAGCCGAAAAGACTTCTCAGTTGACAGTCCCCTTGATTTCGCGTTTGTTCATATCGCATCCTCGCTCAGTATTAATATTTAGCTAGCCCTCTCTCGAAAAGTTTTCCTTGTGTTAATAATGGCTATTAATAGTGAGTGCTTTCCACGATCCACTTTGGCGAGGTAGGTAGCTTCACATCTCCCAATTACGGTGGCTTATTTATTGTTCAATATGGCTTTGTACAATTAACTAAATTCTTTCATAGATAAATAATTACTTACAAATATGTTTTTTCTTTGCTTACATTGTTACTTCTCTTTCTAGAAAATTAACAAAATTAAAAAAAAAAAAAAAAGTGTTATTTCTTAAACTTGACTATCCCTTGAATATTTTCCTTTCTTTTGTTCACTGAGAGACTGATATCAAATATCAGAGACCTAATATGTTAGTCAATTAAACTCAGGATCTGTTTTTATTAGTTAAATACATTGTCGCCTACTATGAAATTTTATCGATGCCTATGTCTGCAGAATAATTTGACTTATTAGTAATGAGTAGCTAGCCAGCGCTACCAACTGGTCGATTGGTTCGAAAGTCACCAATATCTGTCGCAGTGAAGAGAAATTATCCAGTTGCATGACAATATGAGAGAGGGGTTGAATAGTAAAGCATGTGTGATCGTTTATGGAACCGTTCTCCTCTACTCTTCCGGAGATTGTGAGATATGACTCTTCCCCTCTATTGTGGAGTTTATAGGTTCCAATAACGTACCATCGAGGTCTTATTATAGCAACGGAAGAAAAAGGAGGAACATTTTCTAGTTCAACTAGCTACTTTCAAAGCATATCAATCCTCCCAATGAGTTGTTTAAATTATACTGGTATAATATCAACTGAAGTGGAGTTCGGTTCCCACTTATTAAAAAATCGCGCCTCAGATGTGCTTGGAGTGGGTCGCTGTGTGGGAAGCTAGGAAACATTCCTTTCCGATGTAGAACTCTGGAGGGGGTCTCCTTTTCTTCTAGTTCTGTCATTTTATATCAATGTTTGTTTGGTTCATTTCTATCCGAATAGTTTTTAAATCTAAGCTATGTTATGTAGCACAGGTTTTCAATTCACCTGTGGTCCCTTAAGTACTCGACAAAATACAAACATAATTATTTAAAATATTGCTGTAAAAAATATATATATATATATCTTCAGATTTGTTTCGTATTATTTTACATTGGCATTGGTCCTCCTTTAATTTTAGGTTTTGTATTCAAATTCCATATTTGACCTAAGAGGCTCGGAAACTGACAAACCCTACCATAGATTTCTTTTAGGGTTGGAAGGAAAATCGTTGTTATTCTTCTCTATGTGTTTATTCATTACGGTGTAGGACAGCGTAATAGAAAGTTGTTATTAGACTGCAAGAAAACAATGGTGCTTCTTATACGGTCGTGCCCCTGACCCAGATAAGCCAATAGCGAGTAGTTTGGTTTGTAGAGTGGAATGTACACCTATTATCGTATTGATGTGGCTTTATCGTAAGCGAGAAGTGCACTATCGATAGCTGTGGGAGATGGGCGCGGAGGCGTCGCAGTGGGCAGCAAGGAGCCCACCAAGGACAGCTCTCAGCTGTAACCTATTATATCTGACCGTTGATCCGGGACTGGTCTGGTTGTCGTTCGTGAGGTATCTGGGGGTACAACCTTTAAATAATATCTTGCTATTGTTAAACATAACCTTTCCGAATCTGAACGAATTGACCGAAAATGTTTGTTGTTTCTGATGAGAACAAGTCAATACATCAAGTGTGAGCTTAGTGGAGTGGAACTCACTTGTATTAAAACTAAAAATCCTTTTTAAAATAGTCGTAAACATAATTTAGTTACGAAACTTCGACAGTTGGCTCCATGTGGTGTTTGCGTCTGCGAATACGAAACATTGCATACACACATTCGAGAGACGTTATGCTTCTAAAATAGAAAAAGTATGTCAATCAACAATACTGTTACATAAAAAAAATCTTGATGACCATACAATCATGACTCCAATATTGTTAGAATCCATCAAATTGTATATTTTTATTTAGTTTTATAGCAGTATAGAATTAGTTTTGTATTGACTCCGGTTATTTATCTTGTTCATTTTAGGCTATTTCATTGTCCAATTAAACTAGTTAAGCATCTCTAATATTAGCAATATAGATTGAGAATACACTAAAATGATCTACTGTTATACTTTAATTACCTATATTGTTTTTATATTAACTTTTTCAAAATATTGAAGTAATCATTTATCATAAAGACGTGGTGATTAAGCACGTTGGTGCTTCCCAGATTCGTCCCAGATTGCTCACTCCATAACTTGGTGGGTTCAATTCCCACCTGAAACAGTTAACATTTATTTCTCTGTGGCTGCAAAAATGAATATTGACACTTCCTCTCTGTCTAATACGCGGCGGCAACCTCTAGTTAGCTGTCAGGAGATGACAAAATGGACTAAAAGGCCCACTTGCTTGACCAGTTGAGTAGCAGTACCAGTACTCATTTATAGTCTGTTTTTATAAACTTAAAATAAAATTAGGTTTACTGTAACTAAAGTATTTACTTTCAATAATAAAAGAAATTGTGAAAAAAGCTAGTCCTTAACTGTGGCAGCAAATGGAAGGCAGTTAGAATGCTGTCCCACCATATCCCATAACCTGGATGTCTCTCTACTAATCATGTTTTCCAGCTTTTACAATGGTACATTAGCAGTTCAGGAAGTATAGTTGATCGAACTATACATACTGTTAACTCACAAAGAATGTCCAAATAAACGACTTATTTTTATATTTTATCCAGTTATGACCTACATCTATTTTGAATTTGTTCCTATTTCTCTGAATTTTTAAAAATATTAATACCCCGCATCAAATTTTGTTTTCTTAATCATAGGAAAAAAAAATTTCACGATCACAATACTTACCCTTACTATATATTACATATATACGTAAGTGAAAGTAAAAGTATTATTTTAGAAAACATCTCAGAATTATCCCTCCTTGAATCCAAAATAAATTTAGGTGTACAAGGTAAGATGTCTGCATAAATTATGGCAACATTCTTACAGTTCATTATTGATTGATTAATCTATGATATACTTTAAATTAAAATCGCCCTGAGAAACATTACTTCATCTGTCGTTCATAATAATTTTGCATCACTGGGTTCAAATAGTTCTAATTCTGTAAAGTTCTTTGTAATTGAATTATTCATAAGAGACACATAAAATTTCAGTTTTTGACTCTTGTGAATTCGTTTGCACACCATATTCGGGACCATTAATCAAGGTATTAAGTAATAATTTTTTTTATTGAGATCTTTAAATACAAATTTATTTTTTTCTAATTTGTCGTGATCTTGTTTTTTCTAACTTGAGCTTCTTTGTTACAGCAACTGTTCCGGGGCCAGCAGCAATCTTCTGTGGCAGGTGCTGCAGCAGCAGCAGCCCAACAACAGCTGCAATTAGTTCAACAGCAGCAATATCTTGCCGCAACACAACAACAACAATTAGCAGCGGGCTTAGCTGCTGCTCCAGCCGCTGCGACATTCCCGCCACATGCACCACCTTATATAGTCAATCCCCAGGAACCCTACATCATTGCAGGTGAGCTGTTTATAAACAAACATTCTATTTAATGCAAATAATTTATTATTGAAGGAAGTTAGTCAACTGTTCTACATATCATTAATGATAAATAGTCAGGACACAGTTATTTTTATGATGTTTATTATTGTTACCGAGGTTTCAAGGCATGCATGAGGGTCCTCATCAGGGCATGTTTCCAGTGGAAAATGTTGGAACTGGAAACATGCTCTGATGTTTCTCACATGCTTGGGTTGAAATGTCGGTAAAAACAAAAAAAATCTTAAAAATGATTGCGTCCTGACCATTTATCACCTACAATTACTTTATGATTTTTATAAAACAGAATTTAGCTGCTTAGTCCTCTTTAATGGTTTTAACAATGTGAAACTCTACTTTAATTTGAAGTTACTTTTGTCTAGTTTACTGAGAAGCAATTGTTAATTACTTAAATTAAATATTTTTTTAGATTTTGCTACCTGTTCAACATAAAATATGACACATAAAAAAACACTAAATTTAAATTTTCTACTTTTGTGATCACAATCGCACCAATGTTTTTAGGATAGTATATTTATGAGACTCTAATATTGAAAGTTATAATCAGTTTTGCCCTTTTGACATCATTACATACTTCTTAACTAGATTTACTACATTTGTAATAAAATTCTTAGTATTGTTGGATATGTGTAATAAATAATTATTTCAATAAAATTCCAAGATTTACTTATTTACTTATCTTCATTCTTACATATTTGACAAGATAATTTCAATATATATAATAAATTTTTAATTGTTAAAATTATGGAATTTCAAAAACAATTTTATCTTTCGCTTTGTTAAGAACCAATCAGGGCTATGTCTTTGTGAAAACCGGAGACAACCAAGGATTTTTCTTATTCTAACCATCATCTGACATATGGGAACTTTGCATTTGTTAAAACCACAAACTTGTATAAATTAATTATCGTTTATGGGGATAAGTAACTTAAAATAGGTATATATAAATATGAATTTATATATACCTATATATAAATAATGATAGATGTTATGCTACTATAATTGAAATGATTGGTTTGTTTTGCTTCAGTAGTAAGGATCTGTGTAACAGAATCAATCTTGCCTTGTTATTGTAATAAATTATAGTAATTATTATTGACCCAGATTCTGTAAAGTTTACTAATTATCTATGTTTTGCTTAACAGGTCCTACCGTAGTTCCTCAATATTATGGCGTACCTTGGGGTGTTTATCCTGCCAACATCATTCAACAAGGTGCAACAACCCAGCAAAGAAGGCCATTGACGCCATCATCTGCTTCAGAATCTGCCAACAATTTGACTCAGGTTTGTTTTTGTTTTTTTCAATAGCTCACTTGAGTTTGTTAGATGATTATTTTGGGCTTTATATTACAATTTAGTTGAAAGACAAAAGAATATTTTGTATAATGCGAGCTTGGATTACATTATATTACATAGATAGAGGTTTGACATAACATTTAGAAATCATAAATTGATAAAATATGATGTGAAATCATGTGTATATATGTATACAATTTTCAAACTTTTAAAATACATGTACATAGTAAATAATGAGTATAGAGTTATTTCCTTCGATAATTGGATTGAACATGTATTAACACCCTGTGTTATGATTTGATAAGGTTCTAGGTCAGTACCATGTTAAAAGTTTTTTTTTTAGTATTGCAGCTGGCTGAATCATATTTTTATTTGAAATATTGTAAAGTTTTTAATATAAAATCACTATATGGATATATAACAGAAGTTTGTTGGAAATTGCAGTCATTGAATTTAATACAAATAAATTATCTGTAATAAATTATGAAAAAGTATTAGTACTAAATAATAAATTTAGGGGAGGGGACTAATGTCCCCAACATACTTCTCTTATTTAGAATCAACAGTCAACAATTTTTTATCATAACTTTATTAAATGTATAACAATAAATAAACATTAAATGGTTAATCTACAAACATTTATTTGTCTTATATTAAAATGACCGTGAATGAGCAGTTAGTGTTCAATCTCAACTAAGTGAAAAATAAAGCATAGACTCCTCCTTGCCAACAGATGCTATCAAGGTCTACATAAATATTTTGAGAGTAGAAGCTTATCTAGATCTACAACGCTGTTGAATAAAACACTTGTATGATTGGTTATATATATATATATATACACTGCAACTCTGGGTCTACTGGCATTATCTCCTTAAGGTTTCTTAATAAGCTTGTTTAAGGGGAGCAGGTTATCATTCCAATGCCTCCCAATCAGTTGGAGGTGTTCTCTCCTGAGATGTACTCCATCATCAGAGGAGAGGTGCTTGCTAGCAGAGGTGACCCTAAGGTATGAACTGTGAGTGACCTTGTGTCAATATGACGAATTTTGTTCTGTTCTGTGTGTCCATGCAGTGTACTGCACTCGGGAAACCAGAGGTTCGTTGATTCCCACTAGCTGTGCACTACAGCTAGCTCTTGCAAGACCTGTCCTATCATATAGCTTGAAATGTTAGACATCAAGAAAAACTGATGACCTCTTCCTTCAATGCTTTGAATCGAAAATTCTCCAGAAAATCTATGGTCAAATTTGGCTGGCTAAACATGGAGGCAGAGGACAAACAGACAGTTATAAGATCTTTTTAAAGAAGCTAACTTAGTCTGACTAAAATCCAGTTAGGAAGGTTACCTTAGACTGGGATGGATATATTCCCAGGATGGATTGGAATCATCACTCTTAAAATATTCTTGGGACAAAAATAAACGCAACACACAGGAAAGGAAGGTCTAAGTTATGCTATTTAAAAGGAGTTAATGAGGATGCCCAAGCAAAGTGGAAGATTACAGGACAGAAAAGAGGAGGATGGCAAAGCTTGTTGGTGGAGGCGAAGCCCTATGCAAGCGATTCGTCGTACACTAAATACAATATAATATATAGACAGAGGCTGTGATGACCAAGAGTGTTAAGTTCTCGTCTCCTTAGTAACCTCAAGTTTTTTATGGACCTAAAGAATGAGGTTCCATTCTCCAAGAATTCTCGACCTTTCCGCTGTCGTTAGAGTTTAAATAAATTGATTATCTGTACGTTGAAAATATTCAGTACTGCCTGATTCAAAACATGTTACATTCAATCTAGATGACTCTTAAGCAGGCCCTTACATGCTCAAACAGGCATAACAATCTTGAAACTTCAATCACTAAGGTCCCTCCCTACCTCTTATCAATCACCGAGAAATAATTTTAGTGATTGATTGATCTAGTAAACATTAAGCCAAATAACATGTGCTGATTTTACACTGAATGTAGCTAATGAAGAAAAGGGTTGTTATCTCTGAAATCTTACCTAATAATGCTTTATATGACTATAGATATTACCTTTGTGTGTTCAATAAATTTTTTAGAGCATTCGCAAATATTTGAAAAATACGAGTTTAACTATTTTATAAATAAGATGGAAAATATTGTGTCATAATAAATATATTTGAAAAAAAGAAAATAAATAAGAATAAATATCATACATCCCAATTAATAATTTAAAAAATATTTGAAATTTGATTTATATGCAATTAGGTATCAGAAAAAAACAGTTTATTTTAAATGACAGGTTTACTCCACTATTTGTGGCACATGGCATGGCTATCCAGTGTGGGAAAGTTCAGATTCATTCCTTGGATCTGTCATAAAAATTAATTTTGGCCCATTCTAGCAGGTGCCACTTCACTTGAAGTTGCTAAATTGACTCTGTGAAGTGGGTTGGCCGAATGGGGTAACGTGTGTGCCCCGCACCGCGAGTTGTCCGGCAACCAGATAACCAAGTTTTGAGATTGAATAAAAAAAAGTATGAGTTCGCATCCCGGTGCCAGAGGGGATTTTTGATTCCCCTCCCTCACCCTCCGGCCTGGAAAATCCCGTACAGCCTAAAAGGCGAGATAGGGAAGAACAGAAAAAAAAAAAGTGACTGTAATACTCTTAACAGTTATATTTGAATCAACATTACCTCTGAGAGCTTATAAAAAAACTGGCAATAGCCATTAACACCTCAGTCTCCTCCTTATCTTTCCGTGATTCCGTGTGTCCACTCCGTCAGCTGTAACTTTTCAAAATCAATCAGAATGTCAATCTGGGGCTTGAATATTGTTTTGACTGACTGTAGGGCCTAGTCTACATCTGTTTTCTTGGAGATTTGGAGGCAATATATTTTACTGATTTTTAATAGTTTCAGGAATAAAGAACGGTAAATTCTAAAATACTACGTGAAAGAGCAACTTCTGTTTTCATTCCTCAACTTCTGCATAAATACACCAATTTGTATGTTTTAGGGACGTACTCTTTATTTTCAGAAAAGTTTTACTAAAAATAAAAAAACAATACACCATCACTACATATATAGAAGAATGGCATCCTGTGGCATAATTAGATATAAATAAATAAAATTTAATTATGTGATTGGGCGATTTTTTTTTATATAGGTGGAGTGTATTTTTATAGTGAAAATATTTGGAAGATAAGGAGCATTGCTAGGAAGTTTTGACGTATTATTTCTAAATACAAATGTCTTAAACCAAGGTTCAAAAATAAAATAATAAGTAAAAATGTAATATATATATATTTTTTTTAATTCACCTTCACGTATCTTGTTAACTCATTAAGGTTCCTAAATTTTATTTGTATAAATTGTATTTATACATTTTTTTGCATGCTTCTGAGATGTATATAAAATTAAAAACTTTTTTAGGTGCAGGCAGGTCAGTATCAAGTAATACCCGCATACTATGATCAAAATGGGTCGTTAGTTATGCGTGGTATAGGTAATGGAACACCTATGAGGCTTGTATCTCCAGCCCCAGTGCTTGTCAATGCGCCTAATCCTGGTAAGTACTTTTTCCTTTCCTGTAAATATTGATTACCCAGTTTTGTAAATAATTTGTACTATATCAGTAGTTAAGATTTGTAAATACTTCCAATCAAAGAAAAACACAAAGGCGATTAATGTAGTAATTAATGTAAATAAAATATATGTGTCGGAAAATTTTCCTCCTTTGTTTTTTAAGTGGGATGTGGATTACAGCAGCTTTTATTTTATTATAAATTAATGAATAGAATAAAATAAATAATTTTTTTAAATAAATTCGTTAGAATAAAAGTTTAAAAGAGGAGTGATAAGGAGTGTTTTAATATTTTTTTGGCTGAATAAGATTCAATTAATAATATTAGTTTAATGCACTCTATTATTTAAACCAAACTTAACAGAGTAGAAATCCTTAGTTTCAGCAGTTAATATTTTTATTATAATTTAAAATGATAAGAAATCCACATATAGAAATTTAATATTTCGAAATAATAATTAATGATGTTCTCAGTTGTAATGCTTCTCTGCCGAATATAATTTAATTGAGTTTTGATTTATGTGTTAAAATAATTTTCATTATTATTTGTAATTTTAAAATTGTCAACCATTTTCCGTAATTGAGCTAAGTGCCGAAAAAGGTTTTTTTATGGTAACAGTTTATTTGTGCAGTCTGTTTCATTATTTTCTTACCCCGGTTCAAGTCATTTCTATTTTTTCCAGATGTATATATTCCTGAAATACGTTTCATTTTGTAAACAGAAGTTTTGTAGTATTAACTGCAATAAATTCTTTAATTCCAAAAAAAGTTTTTAAAGCATCCAAAATACACATAAAAAATATTCTCAAGAGATGGTATTCATTATTAGCACTCCTTCCATCTAATAATTTTAATTTTTTGTATAATTTGAATTGGTTGATTTATTAACTTGCATACTATTAATAATAAAAATAATGAAACATGCTTTTTTTTTTTTTAAAGTCTTTTATGACTAAGGATGAAATATTACATTTTTTTACAATACCTTGGAACTTCATATAATGCCTATCCAACAATCCTCTTCTGTTTCTAATTCAGAAGTAGAATGAATTTTCAAATATTGATAGTTTTGTGAGGTATTTTATACATATCTTAGATAATCAGTGAAATTTCATCTAAGATTAATTTAGCTTGTTGTATGTTTAAAATTTGAGTTTAAAATATCTCCTTTGTTTTTATTACCGCTTACTTTTGACAGAATATTGTCATGATGCAATAAGGCATAGAACTAATTTCTGAGAAATATTTTTTGATGAAAACAATCCTTAAACGTTGTATAATATTTGATCTGAATGGGTAAAGTGTCTCATGAGGCCATTATTTTTCTCGATATTATTTAAATTTAAACTAAAAGGCTTACGTCCGTTATTAACCAGGCATTTTATGAAATTTCTAGGTATTATACTAGAATAATATCAAAAATTTATTCTATTCTATAACTTGTATGAAAAGAACTGAAAGGTTTATAATGGGTTGAAACTGTTGCTAATGAAGTCATGTTGAATTATTTTTTTTTCATAGCCTGTATATAACATCTACTCCGTAACTGAACTAACATCAATAACAAGATTGTAAATCTAATCATTCTTATCTATTTATTGTACATTTATTTGACAGATTGCATTGGCTTGTTGCTTTATACTACCATTTGATAGAACATAATAAATGATGTTGGTTTAATTTTTTTTTGGAGGATTTTTTGCTCTTGTAACTGTTGCCATATATTAAAATAGTTTGTGTGTATGAAGATGTGACAAAAGATGAAGACAATGTACAAAAAGGTGATGTATGAGGGGTATATATGTTTTAGCTGGTGTAGCGGGGAACAGCATGAGATTGCTAGGAAATCAAACACAACAGATAACAACACCTCCTTCCTCTATATACAGCAGTAACCAACCGGCTTCGCTCTACAGCACGCCAACTGCAAACGGTACTCCTATTTCAGGTACAATCCTTCTCTTCCCCATTAACATTCCTTATTAATGATGATGCTTTCACTTATATTCTTGCTATAGGCGAATAATCATGTGTGTCACACTTTTAACATCATTTCTAACAATTATCATTATGTTTCTATGTAATTAATATTTCCTCAATCTAATATTTCATTAAATAATTGTAGCAGCTGTCCATGGTTATTTTTCATATTAGCTCTTTTTTATTGAGTAGCTAATGAAAATTAGCTATTTTCTGCATCTTTTACTTTGGGTGCTCTTTTCTTGATTGTATTTTTTTTTTTTTTTTTTTTTTTTTTTTTTTAATAAATTTGTAAATATATTTTAGTAGAAGGTGTTTATCTGTCTAATTAGAAGTATGTTTACCTCTTTTATGAAGATATTTACCTCAGATAAATGAATATTATTTATAATATTGGAATATGCATGTTGATGTATATTAATGTAGGTTTATTTTGTTGTTCATTCAATTGAATTTAATTCAGATATTCATGCTTCTACTAAATATTATTCGGAGAAATGAGTAAAATTATAAATAGTTCTCGATATTTGGTCCTTAATTTGATATGATCAGAAATAAATGTACGTTCACATCTTGTTGAAAACATTTATTTGGAAGTGAATTAAAATCAAGTTGGTGAGTTATTTAGTTGGCGTTTTTGTCTAGTTAGATATTTTTAAAGAGATTATGTCGTGACAGCTACCGATAGGATTGTGGTTTGTAGGTCTGCCTCCGGGGTCTGGAACAAGTGGAACTGGTGGATATACAAACAACCTAGCTTCATTAACTTCAAGCCTCTCCTCCCTCGGTGCAGGTATATTCCCATTTCCTTCTCCTGGCATGCGTACACATCATCTTGCCTGCCTCCGTTCTCTGCCAATTATAGATATTCTTTGTATTTTTTATATTATATTAATTTTCACTTCACTGCACTTATGATTTTATCATCAGAGTATGTATAATTTGTACATGATAAAAGCAATACAAAAAGTAATTAATGCTTTGACCAGAGGGGAATCAATAGAAAACCAATTGATTTAAATTTTTTTATTTATTTATTAATGTGTAATTTTAAGGTTATAATTTTATTCTGTCACTATTTTTCATAAGTAAAATTATTTTAATGATCAGAGGAAAATCTAAATTTGTCTCACCAGTTGGTTTTGTATCATCATATGATGCTATCATTATCATATACTTATTACTGCTCTGTTTTACTTCTTGTTGGTTCTGGTAAGCTCTTATAGGAAATATAGTATTCATGGTGTGTTTAGTGTGATTTAACCAAGTGTGGAATAAAAAAATAAAATAAAAAGATAAAATTCATAAATCTGTGTATGATAATTTGTATGCAGTAAAAGATAGGAAAATGTGTTGTATATGTAATTCTTCTTTACGTTAAGTTATAGATGTTTAAACAAATTTTGTGCGTTTAACAAGTATTATTATAAATTTCATTTAAATAAGTCCTCGATCTTTTTATTATTTTTTTTAATTTATAACATTTTCGCACAAAGAAAATAATATTAATTATTGAGCATTAAGATTTTTTGTTTTTTTTAAAGGGATTTAGTAGATAAGTACAACTTAAGTATTGTTTTCTAAACGTGTGCCAGTGATAGAGTTGCGTTGGTCAATATGTCCTAGCTAGATGAATTAAGCTATGTTTTATACTAATTGCCTCAATTAATAATGACCCATTTTTATATTTAATTATACTCAAAATACTTCATCAAAATTATATTTGAACTGCTACTAAAATAAAGCTATTGAACTAAATTTTGAACTGCATTAAAAGTTAGCCTCTAATTAGCTTAGATAGGGTTGTGGGTTGACTGTTGTGGGCTGGCAGCTTAACCAGGCCACATTTGGAAGTTGGAGCCTGGATTTAATCCGCTAATGTTTACGTTACTAATCCACCACTCCAAGCAGCAGCAGCCACTCCGCAATGTTGGCAGTTTGGGACTCAACTGCACTGTTTTTAATATGTTATTTTGATTACTAAATTAATATAGAATTTTTCCATTTAATTCCTGTCTCTTAAAAGTAAATTAACATTTGCATATATTTAACATACTTTGAGGGGTTCAAGATTACATTGGGTTTGGATTAATTATGTTAGCTTTTAAAGCTTTGTTATGTTTACTCCCTTCAACTAATATTTACGATCAAAATATTTTATGTTATTTAGCTTTATTTCAACAAACCTAAAAAAATTAATTAAATTATTTTCTTATGGAATATAAATCCATTGAATGTTTTCTTTACAACATGTCTTCATGATTATGAAATTTATTTTTTCTGAATGGCTATCAACCTATTATTATTTTTTCATTTTTTTATTGATACTTCTTTCAAATCAAATCAAACTTCTTTCCCAGAGTAGTGGATGTTTTTTATTTTTTTAATGTCTTCCCGTTTTAATATGTGTTAAAATTAATCTTTTAAACTATAAATTAAAAAGGAAGGAAATGGTCCGGGGTTGCGGTCATAAAAAGGCTAAATAGTTTTACCACTATTTAGCCTTTTTATGACCGCAATCCCGGACCATCTCCTTCCTTTATAATGCAACGATCAACTATTAAATATTCAACTATAAATTAAAATTATTTCACATCAATTGTTTGATTTATTTTCTATTAGTATTTACAGGAGGATCTTTTTATTTTCTGTTGCTTCATTTTCGCTTATAAGTTTCTTATGCACTTTCTTTTTCTTCCACATCTCTGTTTGATTTTTTTTTTTTTCATTTATTTTCTGTGTTAAAAGGTTTACAAAAAAGGTGTATCTGGAACTGACTAACTTGTTAGCTATTACAAATACGCTTATAATTGGACTTCTATTTTGATATAGTTTATTAAATATAATTATGCCTCTATCGTATAATGTATTCTTATTTTATATTAAGATTCAAATCATTCTAGAATTTTAATTTCTTTTATTTATTGCATTCGTCGGTGAATGTTAATTATTACGTTTTTTTAGTATTTTGAGACCGGAATTAATTATTAGATTGATTTCTTGTAAATATTTATTTTAAAGTTTATAATCAAGTCACGTTGAGGCAAGTATATATTTTATCACTATTAATTAATTACATTAAAATTTAACATATTTTTCAATACACACTATTAAGCCTTAATTTAAAATAAATCACTGAGAAGCATTTTCTATCGCAACACCAGTTAAATTAAAATATTTCATTTTTTAAAGTAGTACGATTTTTACCTCACATGTAGGCATTTGAGAAACACGGCTGTCAGCTGTATATTGTTTATATTGATTGTACAACTCACTCAATATAGAAAAATATATTTAATCCTAATATATTAAATATACTTAATTTTTCACTACAGCATGTTCACCTAGCTTAACCACACTGCTTCATGTTGCATGATCATTTACCTGTATCATATGTATGTCTGCACACGCAATGTTGATAATGCTTCATCATACTAACTAAACTTAAATCCCTTTTTAGTAGTATGTTAGCTATTCCTTGAGCCTTTTCTTCATAAAAATACCTTCTGTAGTACAATAATCTATTAAAAGTTCAGTTATATCTCAGATTATTATTAGTGTGACTGATTTAGTTCCTTATGAGTAAAGTACAACTTATGAATTTTTTTTTTTCAATATAAAATACTTTATAATGACTGATAATAATACTGAAATTTCTGATATTTTCTTTGTTATTTTTAACTTTAATTTAGTTTTAACATATTTATTTAATTTTGTAATTAGTCAAAAGTAGTCTAATAATTAATCAGTAAGTCTAAAACAAATTGTCGCTCAAAGTTCAAAAGGTTATATGTCTAAAAATTGTGCTTTTCAGAAACAAAAAAAAAAATCCTAAGTTCTGATTCTATAATTACATGCTTTCTTTTGCATTCTTATAAGCAACCCAAGATGCTGGACTAAAATTATGGTATGAACCGTATAATTTGGAATCAATCATACGGAAAAAATATGGCTGGGAAGTTCAGGATTGATATCCTATGAACGAGCAGCCATGATGAAGGCTTATACTGAGGCAAAATTTCAGCACAAAATAAAATTTTTTTTTTTACTTTTATTTGCTTTCCCCAAATAACTTCCTATATTATTTGCAGTCATAAAAAATGTACCCATTTGTTTTAGACACACGACTTTTTGCTCATTGAATGTCAATGTGGTGAATCTTTTGATTAAATTTGAACAAATGTTTCTAACTATAAAGGCTCCTACACATAGAGTGTAATATGTCTGGACGATATGACATTTCTTTCGGCGGCAATATGGCTATTTAAATGTATTATTATCTATTGCATTACATCAGCCATACAGAGCACGATAATGTGCAGCGATACTAAGAAAGAGTATCATATCGTCAGGACAGGTTCTGTTTGTAGAGTCTTAACGTTTTTATATTATTAATGTTGCGTAACTTGAATATTATTGAGCAGACCTCAGCTGTTGTTAGTTAGTAGTAGGTTGTGTGTGTGCTTGTCAGGTGGACAAAAAATTCATTACTTAATATTTTATATATATTTGTGTTATAATTTTTCTCATCATTTTTTTTGTCATCATCATGGCTCCGATAATGAAGTTACAACAATCGGACCAAAATTATGTGACTTGTCTTTCTGCACCTTAATCTTACAGATTAATTCCCTAGATTCAACTCTGAAATACATGACTCCTAAATTTGAGATGCAAAAATAAATAAATATAAATTCAAATGTGTACATTATTGAGAAAAAATATTTACCTCTATAAAATGTATTCTATAATGTATTTGCAGAATTTACTCTCCGATTATTTTTTTTTTTTTATGTATATTAAAGACAAGCTAACAACTGAAATTAGGTTCAAAGGAAAATATAATTTGATTCTAGATATTTTTTAATTGTGGTGTAATAACTGATTATACATCAATTTTAAATGTTTTTAGCATCATTATGATTATAATTATGGAGTACTAATCAGAAAGTCAGCTTTGCCTTGATGATAAAGTAAAAAGTAATGTTGCACACACATATATGTGTGTGTGTGTATATATATATTTCTTTTTTTCTTTTTTGTTAATTTCAAAATACAGGTGATATTAGGCTTTAAAAATTCAGAAATATATTTATACATGCAGGCCAATTAGTTGTTTAATGGTAAAATAAATGCATAAACTTTTTTATTTGTAGGTCTTGGCCTTGGTACTGGAAGCACCGGAAGAAGAGATTCGTTCGATAGAAACACTTCAGCTTATTCCCCATCCCTTGAATATGGACGAGCTAAGTGGCCCCAGAGCTATGGAACATTAGGTAATGACCTTATTGTAATGGCGTATTGTTTCAAGAATTAATTTGTGTTTTTTAATCAATCTATTCTAAAATATTGATGAAAGCTGATAAAAGAACTGCTGCTCAAAATAAATATGAGCAAGGCAAAATATATGGTTAGTTGCGAAAATGACAACAATTTTGGTTATATAGTTATCTAAAGGAATAATTAGAAATATATAGAAAAGTTGAGGTTATTTTTCTATTGTAAAACTATTCCGCTTGTTCCTCCTGTCCCAAAACATAAAAATTACAATTTAAAGAACTATTATTATTATTATTATTATTTTTGGAAGCAAACATGACTGCTTTTTATATTAAAAGATGAGTCAACTGTAAAATTTAGATTGTTATACGCCACCTTATCTTGTGAACAATGCTTGGTAAATATAATTGAGGTGACTACATTGCAGTGAATAAAATAGGTGTGTGAAAAAATTTGTACCAATACTGTTTCTTAGTCAACGGTTGTGCAAGGAGGCAATCACGCTCAACCGCCAGGTTTTCCCCCTTTATTAATTATTTAATTAAGAATACCCACTTTATAGAGGCTTGGTGTGCCCCAGGAGGGTCTGTTTATTCCAGGGTCACCCCAGAGCTAATGAAACATAATAAATAATTTTCCTGCCGTGAACTAGGATTTGAACCCAGGACCATAAGCATTAGAAGATCCAGTGCCCTACCACTGAGCTACTCCACTTCCCAAAATGGGTGTGTGAAGTTATTAATTGCAGTGAAAAATTGTATTTCTTTACAAAGTGCCCAACTCCAAACCCTCCATATTTTGTAGTATTGCAATTTTTATTCTTCTGTCTGTCAGTGATAGGTATCAGTAATTAAATTGTAATTTAATGTAACAAAAAATTATTATTCAATATATAACCTATTGTTGTTCACTGCCATTTTCCATCTTTTTTCTGCCAGTTCTTTTGGATGGCTGTCAAAGAATTCCTGAAATCCTAAAAATTTTGACTTCTTGAAATGTATTCAATAGTTTCCCTTCCTAGAAGTGGGCCATGGATCAAAACATATAAAAATCCGATGGAAGAAGTTCTGGATTGTATGGTTGGAAGGTGACAGTGTTCAGATTTTTTAATTTTTCCTTCATCGGTTGGGAAGTATGTAACCAGGCATTACCTTGCTGGAACTAAAATCATTTATGGTTGACCAAAGCTGGATAACACTACGACAGTTTCGGGCACATGCTATCTAACTGTTCGCAAAAGAGGTCAGAATTTATTGTGCATCCATTAGGAACAAGTTCATGATGGATTCACTCCTTTATAGTTCCAGAAAACACACATATGTCCACTTGCAGCAACCGGAAAAGTTGTTTGACATCAATCCAACTATTACATAGTGGTATCAGAATTTCGCTAGTAAACCCACTTTTGACCACAAGTAACAATTTTTTTGTTAATCGGAAGGATTTCTTAAAAGATATTTGCAAACCTCCACCCTCTTAACAGCTTTTTGTGCATAAGCTCATGTAGCACCAGTCCACAGCCTTTCTTTTACTTTACTCATGGCATGTAGATGGTGACATACAGTATCTTTTGATACTCCACACTCCTGGGTAAGATGATGAATACTTTTGGATGAATTTAATCATACAGCTTTTTAAAGAAACTCATCAATCTTAAGTGGTGGGGTCACCCTGAGCCCTTCTTTCCAAGGATATATATCCACCAGAAGATTTTTGGAACCGATTCTGCACGATTTGCTCATCCAGTACATCTTCAGTTTTGTTGATTTCACAAGCCGCTTTGGCGACTGAACAAGTTTTTGTCCAATGTCATAAAATGACAAAAAATTTGTGAGACATCTTCATGTTGCTTTTTCAATAAAAACTTTTGCACTAAAGCTTTATCGAGCCAGTCAGTCCAGTGTTGATAAATAAGCTTTGATTTGTGTTCTTAACAGTTAATTCATTGGTAAACAATAAATAGGATGAACATGTTTACATTTCTTGGGATTGACATTTGATGAAAGTCATTTTTTTTTTTTTATTATTATCATTAGTCGTTATGAAAAATGTGAGGGTATTAATGGATTATTTTAATTTACTTTATTAGGATGAATAAAAATAGCTATTATTTATAATGATAAAAAATTGTAATTGTCAAATGGATCCCTCACATTTTTGGGTGCAGTATTGGTTTCTTGGTAGGAAGGTAGAGACAGTCATACATAGCCAATATGAGAAAATACTAGAATTTGTGCATTTTTAATTTAAATAAATTGTCAGTTTGTGAGTAATATATTATAGCTCTACTAGTCTTGAAATTTAATCCTAAAATTGTATTTAATTTTCATTTATTTATATAGATGTGGGATTTTGAGGGGCCGACTCATTGTCACTGCAAACCATTCTAAAATGTTCACTTTTTTACTCGTTATTATGTGTTACCTAAAAATATTAACATCCATCATAAATACTTTGAAGGAGGTTTTATATAAAAAAGGGGTTTTGAGATCTCATGTTTTTTTTTTTTTTTAATTATTCAATTAGAGCTGAACATGAAACAAATTAACCAGTACCGAGACTTGCTATCGACAGAAGACTGCTTATCTTCAGCCCCTGCCTTTTATTCAGTTGGTAAATAAATTAACACATATTTTTACTTTTTATTACATTTAAAACATTGATTGTATCATCATTATTATTTTGTTTTTCCTTTACTTTTTTTCTCATCCTCTGTTCTGGTATATCTTCTTCCACCAACCTATATTTTCAAATGTAGCCCAGTTAGTAAGTTGTTTGTCACTAATATAATATAATGAATACATATGAACAAACTATATTACGTTTTTTGGACGTGTAGTGGAAATATTTTAACCTGTAAAACATATTTACTTGAAACAAAAATAGCTTAAGTTACTGTTTTGAACAATACCTAATGGGACATTATGAGAATAAAAATGTGTTCTCTTTAATATTTTCCAACATTATTTAAGAAAAAATAAATAAAGAAGATCTGATAGTTAAGAACTCTTTGTGAAGTCTGTTGGAGAAATAATAATGGAAAAGGTTCAATGAAGAGAAGAATAGTTGGGGTGCTCAGTCAAAAAAGGAAGGCAAAAAATAAATTATAATATTTATTTTTTACATATGCCGACGTTTCGACCTGAAGTTCAGGCCTTCATCAGGGCTAAGAAAATAATGTGAGGGTATTTTCTTAGCCCTGATGAAGGCCTGAACTTCAGGTCGAAACGTCTCGGCATATGTAAAAAATAAATATTTTTTTTTTTGCCTTCCTTTTTTGACTGAGTACCCCAACTATTCTTCTCTTCATTATCCACGACAGTCAACCAATTACCAATTAGGAAAAGGTTCAAGTTAAATTGTTGATGGACAGCTGACACATACGTAATAAGTAATCAATATAAAGGAAAAATTAGATTTGGCCGTGACTTATAGTATTATACTTTACAAGTTACAAAGAATAATTGTTAACCTATAGGATAATACATATTCCCTCTCCTAAATAGAATAAAGAAGTTTATTGACCACAAATAAAGAAAACTAAAGTAAAGTTTATTAAGATGTACTTATAGATCTCATATTTTTTTATTTTATATTAAGGTACATGTTAAAGTATATCCTCAGAAGGAAAGAACTACATTGTGATTAAGATGTTGATTGATGTGTTTATTTTGCAGGGACTGTGACAGCCTCAGGAAGTCCATTGGGCTTGGCCGGCTCCGGTTCAGTGACTCCCCCTCCCTTGGGCTCAGGATCAGGCGGCTTGCAACTGGGCGGATTGACCGGCACCAGGTCCTTGCTATCAGCAGCCCCTGGTGCTGAGGCTAAGTTCAGAAGCAGTGCTCCTTCATCAACTGCAGCCGCAGCTGCTGGCTCAGTCTTCGGAGCGCCTTCGCTCTTTGCCAAGCTCGGATCTGTTCCAAGAGCTCTTACTACTTCACCTCTCGATACCAAGCCAGCTGGTAGATCCAGACTGTTGGAAGACTTCAGAAACAATAGGTAAAATATTTGTTAGGGATTTTCTCAATAGATGATTTTTTTTTAAGATTTGGGCATAACTGGAAACATAAAGAATGGTTTAATGTCAAAGTATGTTTTTAACTTATTTTCTCTCTTTTTAGGTATCCATCTCTGCAATTACGTGATTTAGCTAGCCACATTGTCGAGTTCTCCCAAGATCAACATGGTTCAAGATTCATTCAACAAAAACTGGAAAGAGCCACAGTTCCTGAAAAACAGCTTGTTTTTACAGAAATTCTCTCAGCTGCTTATAATCTTATGACTGATGTGTTTGGCAACTATGTAATTCAAAAATTTTTTGAATTCGGCACTCCTGAACAGAAAACCACCCTGGCTCAGAAAGTTAGAGGCCATGTCTTACCTCTGGCATTACAGATGTATGGTTGCCGAGTTATCCAAAAGGCTTTGGAATCAATAAGTGGAGAACAGCAAGTGGAGATTGTGAGAGAATTAGATGGCCACGTGTTAAAATGTGTTAAGGATCAAAATGGAAATCATGTTGTTCAGAAATGCATCGAGTGCGTCGATCCTCATGCTCTTCAATTCATCATTAATGCCTTTCAAGGACAGGTTTGTATTAATATAAGCAGTTTTATCATAAAATATTCGCTTATCTGATATGCATAAAGTTGATACATGTACTATATATTTGCAGGTGTTCACACTATCTACTCATCCATATGGTTGCCGCGTAATTCAGCGAATTCTAGAGCATTGCACACAGGAACAGACAGCTCCAATTCTAGAAGAATTACATCAACACACCGACCAGCTTATTCAAGATCAATACGGGAATTACGTTATTCAACATGTATTAGGTACTGCTTTGTTTGTTTCTATTTACCTTATTTTATTTAAATTTAAATAACTGGTTGTAATACAACTTTCCTTGAAAGTTTTTTCAAATCATTTTTAAACGTTTGGCATATTAGAAATATCATTACACTCACTTTTCGCGATTTAATAAAACTTGACAGTTTTATTCCAGACCTTAAATGATAATATATCACTAATTCGTAGTGAAATCTTGTTACCAATTTAATTTAAGTAAATAATACAATTTAAAAATTCAACTGAATTATTCTATCTTCTTTTTTTTTCAGAGCATGGAAAAGCTGAAGACAAAGCTATTTTGATTGGAGCTGTAAGAGGCAAAGTACTTGCTCTTTCACAGCACAAATTTGCGTCTAATGTAGTTGAAAAATGTGTGACCCATGCTACCAGGGCTGAAAGAGCAGTGCTTATTGAAGAAGTTTGTGGATTCAATGATAAGTAAGTTTTAGAAAAGTGCTTTAAAATAAATCCAATACATCCAAAATAAATTTAAAAAAAAAAATAAGAAAAGATTAGCAATTTATTGAAGAATGATAGCTAGTTTATCTCAGAATATGTATTAAGAATTAACTTTGAGTTAGTCATTATGTCAATTGAAGGGCTCAAATAATTGTCTTAGTTAATCAAAAATAATAATTAAATCATGAGTAAAATCAAAAGGTTATTTAAATATACCCTATTTAATATCATATTAAATTCCAAATAATAACATTTATTTATTGTCCTTAATGTATGTTGTTTTTTTTTTGTTTTTTAGTGCATTACATGTTATGATGAAGGATCAGTATGCAAACTATGTCGTTCAGAAGATGTTAGACGTATGTGAGGCTTCTCAGAGAAAAGTTCTGATGCACAAAATACGTCCACATTTTGCTTCCCTGCGAAAATACACTTATGGAAAACACATAATTGCTAAATTGGAGAAATTTTTCATGAAGTCTGCAAATAATGTCGTTGTTCCAGATCTAGGACCAATTGGTCCTCCCACCAATGGTGTTTTATAAATGCTGGCATGTTTATTGGAGCACATCCCGACTCTAGGGACAATAATGTGTTAATCTTATCGTATTAGTTATGGTTTTTTGAGTAGAAACTGAGTCAAATCGGTTTAGTTAGGTTATTTTACCTTTTTTTTTTCTTTTTCCCTTCATTATTATAATTTTTTTTTCGTTATTGAAGAATAATTGATTTGTATATAGCACCAGATAGGTGCCTTTAAATCTGGTAATCACATATATAGATTTATATATGTATGTACATATATACATATATATTTATATATATGACTATAAATATTTAGAAAAAATACATGCCCCCTCCTCATCAATTTCATTTTGTAAAGAATCATCCTGTAGCCCATTTATACAATACTAACAATGTACAGTAACAGACTATTTTTTCGGGTTGTAAAATATGACGTTATAATTTTTATGTATAATTGGACCAAGTTAATTTTTAAATGTATAAAACTCATTTTTATCTTTTTTGTAATTAGAGTGGCAAGACCTCCTGCTGTAAAAGAATGTAGAAAGTATTTTCTTAAAATTAGTTGTAAATACTGGCCTGGCTCCCGCGTTTAGATATGTATGTATAGCCGCTGAATAAACAAATTTTCTCTATTTTCTAACTTTTATTGCTTTATTTTACTCATTTGTGTGCATTTTTTTTAATATATATATTTTACATCTCATTAGTAAGCGGCCCCTTTTAATGTGATATCTAATTGAATGTGAATTTTGGAAAGTGTCTTAGCTTAATTTTGTTTAATTAAAATTTGGAGGGCTTTTATTGGAAAGACTAGAGGGAGCGTGCTCTCGTTACAACAGCTACCGCTTGTAAATAAAACACATTTACCAAATACTGCCAGGGATGAAATGTTAGTCTATCAATATACAGGCACACTTATCATCTAATTACTACTAATTATCTGTGTGTTTATGCATTTGTAAACATGATTCATGAATCATATACTAACTTGCTCATCGCCTCTCACTAATTATTCAAGTAATTTCAATTATTAAATAACATATTAACATGTTATAAAGAATTATTTTAATAGTATTTGTGTGAAGTTCATTACCTAATCTATAATTAAAATACTTATATTAATGTGGATGGTTAAAAATATATATATATATATATCTTGTAATTATTACATGAAGATTACTAATCCGTTATTCAAGGTATTTAAAATTTTGGGTGTGGTTACATACCATTATTTAGCGCAGATTAAAAAAAAAAAAAATTAAAGAAAAAATATTAAATATTAGTGTATATATATTAATTTCTCTTAAAGCCATGTTTCTGTTTGGATTATTTCAATTTGGACCAATATTTGTAGTACCAACAGTTGTTACATATTCTGTAATTATTATAACAGCTGGATTGTTATTATGTATATTTGGAGAACAATGTCACACTTACTATTAGTGTGTTTGTAAATTAAATTCGCTTAGTGCACTTGAGACACATTGCTCAAAATTTTAGTATAATTAAACCACTGTTAATAAAAACACCGCCCATCTTAATAGGATTCAATTAATGAACAGCATGCTTTATCAAATTTGTAATTTATTGCATTTGATTCTTCCGTAATTTGTTTTCTTCTTCTAAGTTCAAAATATTATTTTAATATCCTTGGAATATATTAGGGTTCTATTTATAGCTGATTCTATATAAATATTCATATATTATCTATAAATCTCAAAATTATATCTTAATGCTATATAATAAAGAAATAATTTCATCTTTCCGCATAGAACAAAAATATTCTAAATGTATACATACTAAGATAGATTAGCCATGAAAATATTGATAAAAAGTTTGCATATTTGTTTCTCCAATTGGAAAATTTAATGTATAGTTAAAAAATTATTAGAGATGTACAAATATATATATATTTCAAATTTATACTTATACATATATATATATATATATAACATATATATAAATATATATATTTGTACATAAATGCACATATATAAAAATATATATAAATAAATATATATAATGAGTAGTAATATTTTATATGTCTCCAGTTGTTTGTATCTCCAGTATAAAACAACTCAACATTCCCTTGTAAATTGTTTGTACAGATAATAGATTGAAACTAAACGGCTTACAACTTTTTTTTATTATGTTGTCATATAGAAAATTGATTTTCTTTTTTTTTTCCCCCTTCATTTTATAATTTGATGACATATGCTTAGCCTTAACTTAAGTAGAGGAGAGGGTAATGTAGCAGACCAACAGTCAAAAGCATTGATAAAATGCGACCTTGGAAGACTACCCGATCACCCGTCGCTGCCCCCTCACAAATGTAATTAGCTATGGAAATTAATTATTATTCTATTTTTGTAGTTGATCAAGACGACCGAGCTTACTATTAAAGTAACTTGTATATCTGTTTGAAAAATTTTAAAAAAAAGTTCAATCAAGACTGTACATTGTTTATATATGAACTCTGTAAATATTTGTATATGAATTTTTACATAATTTTTTTATGGTATATATATATGGGAAATATTATATATAAATATTTTTAAGTTTTTAAATGTTGCCTAGGCAAAGTGTATTATAAAAATAAATTGCCCTTTGAATCCATATGTTAATATTGCCTCAGTGTTTGATTTAGTGACACCTAAGTGTACAGTGTATCAATATTCGTTAATAGGTTATGTTGGCGGGCAGTGGTGAGACGATGCTGTGGTCCACGCTGATAATTACTCCTCTACTTAAGGTACGTTCCCTTCCTCTTGGTGCAATACCTATATCATCCCAAATACTTCCTTAACCCTCCTTGCATTGACGTCACCAACATTTTTTTTATTTTGTAATTACTTTTTATCATCTTGAAAATAAAAATTACAATTCGGATCAATGATTTTAGTTAACGAAGACTGATTAAGACCTCTCACTCCTACACATTTATTCTTTGATCATGTGAATATGAGAGGGGCAAATTTAAATTTAGTTGATTAATTTAACTACTTAAATATAATATTTAAGATGTACATCTATTATGTATTGTAATATGAATGTAAAAATATTGTTTAAATTGCACATTTGTTGTCTTAATTGATATGTACTATTGTAAAATGTGAGCACTCAGTTTGGTATTTTGCTGTCTATATAATGGTGAATGTAGTTCTATAATCTTGTACTTTATTGTGAAATAGTAAACATATAAAAACTGTCATGTTTATATTTTATCTTTTTTTATATATAAGGTATATATATAAATATTATATACATATATATTATTTTATTATTAATTTTCTACATGCTGTTAATATTTTTGTAAATGTTTCAATAGATTTTGGTTCTTCCTAAATCCTGAGGTTGGGTGTTATTGCTAAATAGCATTGTATAAAATTATTGTAAAAATTAAAAAATAAAATGAAATGTACTATTTATTACTGGCAGTGGTAAGCAAACCTCCAGCCTTTTAAGAAATCATACCATTCCTCAGGAGCTAGGAAATTTAGTTGACATTTTTTTAAACAAAACTTTACAATAAGTGGTAATGGTGGAATTTCGTTTTTGATTTCTTTTTTTAATGGTTTTTCGTTCAGTTTCTGGTGTCCTGCTCTCTAAACTTTTCAAGTAGTGTTTATTATTAAATATACATATATGAATATATAAATCCAAATTACAAATTTTCTTAACATTTGTTGTGATTATATTAATAATGTACACTGTATGTAGGATTGTGTTTAGTGCTTATGTATAAACTTGTAAGTAGTTCTTTGTATGTGCCTTGTTTAAAATTGATTCCCATTTTTTAATTTACAATCAACAATTAAATGTGTATAAATTGTTTTTAGGTGTATTATATCGATTACATTTCTTGTATCGAAAATAAAAATATTTGTATAATTGTGCATTGTTGTTGAGTGTACTTGAAGCATTGGGCAGTTTGTTAATATATATTGATATACAAAATGAGAATGAATTATTAATGATCATTTTGAATTGAAATTTACATTAAAATATTGCTAAATTAAATATATACTTGTACAAAAAAAAAATTATCACTAGGTTTTATTTCACTAAAAATACACTTTTATTTTATTTGGATTAAATTATTTGCTTACGTATATTGTGTTTTGACTAAATTTTTTAAATAAAACAGAAAATTTCCATAATAGAATATTTATGATTTCAGTAGATATAGATGATTTTATACTATCTTATTTTTTTTTTCCTTTAGACAGTACTTTTTTCTTTAGCTTTTTTAGATTTATCAGCTTAAGATTTGATATAAAGAAGAATTTATCTTAGTTTCTGAATACTAGTGACCTTTGCGATTTATGGGTACAAGCGTTAGTTTTAGCTTATAGCAAGTTGTCTTATCAGTTATATAAAGATAACTTTTCTTCTTTTCTTTTTTTTTTTCTTAAAGCAATAGCTAACACCCATTTTGTAATTATTTTATTATATTTAGTTAGTATTTAGGTGGGAAACCATCAACCTAAGTAGGATAGGTTATTGTTTTAATTTAAATTTGTATTTTGCATTATGGTACACCATATTATCTATCAACAGATAATCTCGTGATTAAATGTAATTGTTATAAATAAATATATTACTAATCTTCTATTGTATTTTAGAGTTGTAGAAAAACAAAAGAAATTATTTAGAACATTTAAAAGTAAAATTTTGTGCAGTAGATTATAAATAAACATTGCTCTGCTACAAATAAAAAAAAAAAGTTATTAATTACAAATTGTATATGGTTGTACAAAATGTAACAATTTTCATTGTGAGAATATTTTGAAGTATTTCAAAATAAAATATAGAAAATTTCCTTGTATTGACTTAATATTTTAACTCCCTTTACTTGATATGAATTAATTTCAAACGCAGAGGAACTATATGGGCCTTTCAGTTGACAGAATGTATACCTTTATTCACAGTTCTATATTTCAACACTGTGGAATCAACTTTTTACTGTCTGTACAGATGTTATAAATTTCTCATCTAGAATTATCATTAAAATGACTACTCAAAAATGCTGAAATTGGAATTAGTCATCCTGTCAACTTAAAGGCTCATATATTGTTTTTTTTTCAAAAATTATTTAATCTTTTCTTTTTTTTTAAACATTCCTTAAATATATTAAAATACATTTGCTTCTCTTTTATTGATTATGAAATTTGATCACCTCTTTAGGGGAAAATAAAATTTTGAGCTACAGAGCTCTATCACTAAGGTCCTTTATCCTTCTCATTTTTGGTGGGATAACATGAAAAGTGGTTTGTTTTTATTAATACTAATCTATGGAAATAAAATTAATTGAACTTAACAGCTGAATTTCTTTTGTATGGTTAGTTTATAGTTTGTGTTATCAAAATGGCAGGTGTAAGAGAAATAGGTTGAGACCTCAAAAAATATTTCTCTTAAATCATCTTAATTCACTTAAAAATTTTCACCCCTGTTATTCAATTTAGAGGTGGTAAAATGTTATAAAAATATTGGAATTTTGATTGAAATTTATCCCCAATTCTAGGACATTTTTATGGCTAAAAAAACTTTCATATCTAATTTCACAAAGAGGGAACTACAGGGAAGAAGCAATAAAATAAGTTATTAGATTTAAAATGACCCTCTTCCTAGATGGCATTCCATGCAGTACATCTTCATTTTCATAAAAAGTATTAAAATAATCTCAACCAAGTGATTGCTCTCAATGGCAGTAATTTGTTATATACTTATGAAAATCTGTTATCACATTAATTAAACAGTTTACAGATGATTAAATTTCAAGGATTCCAGATCTGATTTAATGAATTACCGATTTGTTAAGATAGGAATATATTAGCTTTCTGATTATTTTATTATTTATTAAAAAATGTGGTGAGTCAATAAAGATGTTATCTCTTAAAAGTTTCTCAGATAGCCCACATTTTAATGCTTATATAGAGAGAGGACTGGCAACTTCTGGTTTAAGTCTGGCCCAGATTTTATTTTTTAACTTCTAAAATTTATATTAATACTAAGTTCAAATAACATTACACAGTGGTGGATCTAAGATTTCATGTTGGGAGTTTCAACCCAAAGCTTTTATTTATAAATATATATAGGAGATAAAGTGAAGGACGATTTCTACTGTTTGTTAGAAAAAGTTGTGGACCAGGCTCCAAAAAATAACATAAAATTAGTCATGAGAGACTTCAATGCAAGATAAGATGAAATGAAATGAAGAAATAATTTTATTCTGGGACTACAGTCCCTAAGAATAATAACAGTGTTACAAATTCATGGGTCTTAGTCTGGCTTAGAATAATAAAAAAATATAAACTAATTAACTGCTTATCATTATTGCAGTTGTACAGTAGTTGAAATTACAAAGTATACAAATACAAGTAATTTTACATATCAGCGGAAGTTTGAATGTGGAATAGGTGGTGGAACAGGAGTTGTTTGAAAGAATTTGTGGAGGATTGAGTATGGAGGTAGTAAGAGAGTTCCAAAAGGAGGTAGAACGAATGACGAAGAACCAAGGATTTACTGAAGAAAGCAGTTTTATGGGAGAGGATGTATAAATCTATAGGTTGAGACCCAGTATTAAGAGAGTGGATAAGGAGCTTAGAGTAAGCAGTTCTAGAATGTAGAGAGGGTTTTTGGTTATGAGAACTTGGAAAAGGAAAACACCAAGGAGGAATTGTCGTCGGGAAGTAGGATAAAGCCACTTAAACTCGGTGTACCAGAATGATACATGCGAACGCCTGAGGATCCCGAAGAAGATGAGAAACCCAATTTAAGCCCATAATCGGAGGCTAAAGTTTCCACGAAGCCAGCAGCGATAATGGAGTGAGATTTTTCAGTCTGACAGCAGCTAAAGGTCTAGAAGTGAGCAGTACGATGTTCCTGCACAAGGACATACATAAGTATACCTGGATAATTCCTAAAGGAACAAAAAGCCAAATTGACCACTTGCTGATAAACAAGAGGCATAAAAGCTCTATACAAGACATAAGGACATAAGGCTATCATGGAGCAGACCATATTCTGAATAGAATCGAACTCTGTCAGAGGCTGAATTCGCCAAATGGGGTCAAGGGGAATGAATAAGGTATGAAGTCCGTAATTTGAAAAACCATATAGTACAGACTAAATTCCAAATTGAGCTGAAAAATAAATTCAAACCCTTGAACGCGGAAGGCCTCATGGTTAAACAACATTGGGGGACACTAGTGTCAGAGCTGAAACAAACAGCTACCGAAGTAACAGGGATTAAGGAAAAAAGAAAAACCAAGAAATGGTCAAGCCATGCTGGACAAATACACAACCACCAAGAAAAAGACAAACAAAATAACAAGAGCAGCAAAAAGAGAATTCCTCAAAGAAAGATTACAAACTATTGAGGAAAACTGGTAGGCTGGAAATATATTCGAATTCTTCGAAGATAGCGGGAAAGAAAGGGTAGGATATATAGCTATAAGTACGCAAATTTGAGAGAAAGATGGCAAATTGACGACATCAATAAAAAAAGATCCTAACCATCTGGAAGGAACCCTTCCAACAGTTTCTCTCAAGGGCACCCCACAAATGAAGAAGACATGGACCACACTGAGGACATCGACCCACTTGAGGTTAAAAAAACAGATAGTCTGGCTGTGGAAATAGCTCGGTAGACTTAAAAGATCCAACCAGGATTCAGGAGAGGGAGGAGTGAGCTAGAATATTCATCATAAAACAATTACTCGAAAAATGATGGGAAGTAGATCAGGAAGTACACGCCTTACTTGTCGACTTCAAAGCAGCCTATGACTCCGTGGACAGAAACTCAGGAAGATCATGACTGAGCTGGGTGTGGGCGGGGTGGCCGAATGGGCTAAAGCGTGTGAACTGCACCGCCGTTGCCTGGCAACCTGACATATGAATCAAAGATATAAAAATAGTCACGAGTTCTCGTCCCGGTGCCGGGGAGTCTTTTAAATCCCCGCCCACACCCCCTGGCCCGGGAAAATCTCGTATAGCCTTAACGGCGAGGAAGGGAAGGACCCCCCTCATTCTCCCCCCCCCCAAAAAAAAGACTGAGCTGGGTGCGTGTTCCTTGTGACGAAGGCGGTGTACAAATGATCCTAAATGCCACTAGCGGATCCAGGATTTAATTTTGGGGGAGCTTTAGCCCGAAAGCTTTTTTTTCATAAAAATAACAATAATTACTTTGCAAAAACAGAAAGAAACTAACTACCTAAATGAAATGGTGTTTAAGTGATTCCTTAATTCCTTTTAAATGTAATTACACGAACAATAATGCTTTAAGAGGTATTTTTAAATTTTTTTTTTTCATAAAACATGGGTTGGTTATATTGTACCATTTTGGGAGAGGCTTCAGCCAGAAAGCCCCTCCCCACCCCGTAGATCCACCCGCGCTAAATGCAGGGTACTGGTACTAATAAAAGGAGAAGTACCTGAAGCCTTTGAAGTTCGAACGGGTTTGAGACAGAGAGATGGACTGATGCTGTTCAACTTATCATTAGAGAAAGTAATAAAAGCATCACGCGAAGATGGAGGGACTCACGTTGGAATGAAACACAAAATCCTAGCATATGCGGATGATATAGCTGTCCTCGGAAGCAATGAAGAGGATATTGAAAGATTACCTCGGACTCTGTTAAGAGAAGTAGAACAAATCGAACTACAAATATGATATCCAAATAACATGATCTTCGTGGACTCTGGAAGTCACTCCGAAAGTAGACAGATTCAAATATCTCGGCTCTACTATAACCTCAATAAATGATCAACCATCAGAGACAGACCAGTGACTCCCTCCCTCCTTAGTTCTGCCCGTGACATTACATATAATAATTATGTAATATATTTATATAATATTTTAGCTATATACCTTATAAGCGGTTTTGGTTGGATTTTAGAGGTAAATTAATAAATGATGACTGCCTGGTAAAATTATCTATTGCAATTAATATTGAATCCAAGGGAGTTAGCTACGGAGTTGTGGAGACTGCCTCTGAGATATACTCCATTTGAAGCCACTACGATACGTACTAATCCCTCCTTAAGTAACAGGGATTAAGGAAAAAAGAAAAACCAAGAAATGGTCAAGCCATGCTGGACAAACACACAACCACCAAGAAAAAGACAAACAAAATAACAAGAGCAGCAAAAAGAGAATTCCTCAAAGAAAGATTACAAACTATTGAGGAAAACTGGTAGGCTGGAAATATATTCGAATTCTTCGAAGATAGCGGGAAAGAAAGGGTAGCATATATAGCTATAAGTACGCAAATTTGAGAGAAAGATGGCAAATTGGCGGCATCAAAAAAAAAGATCCTAACCATCTGGAAGGAACCCTTCCAACAGTTTCTCTCAAGGGCACCCCACAAATGAAGAAGACATGGACCACACTGAGGACATCGACCCACTTGAGGTTAAAAAAACAAACAAAATTAGCCATTTTCGATGCTCCTTTGGAAGACAGCTGTGATCCAGCACATTAAAACGTTAGGGTCCGCAGGGTGCAGGCGAGAGATCCCTGTAGAGAGAGAGAATCCTAGGAATAGGTCCGCCAAAATATCGATGATGAATGTGATCACTCGATTTGTACATATGACACTACATATCCGCTTATTATATCGCTATATTAATTGATACAAAGTTCTAAAGACATATCTCTGGGTTGCTCAAAGTACCAATGGATCTTCTGAAAGAATGGTGACTGAACATCACCATAGACTTGGAATCAGTCTTCATGCGGATCAATTAGGAGGGAGGAGGGAGAGGGGACTTTTCGGGCTGAAGCGCTCCCCTCCCCCAAATGGTAAAATGTAATCATGTTTCATGGTAAAAGATATTAAAGAATTGTTGTACGTGTAATTACATTTAATAGGACTTCAAGAATCACTTAAACATCATTTCATATAGGTAGTTAATATAATTTTTTTTCCAAAGTAATTATCGTTAGTATATGAAAAAAAGAGCTTTCCGGCTGAAGTCCCTTCCCCTCCCAAATTAAATCCTGGATCCGCTAGTGGTTTTCAGTCTTAAAATCTTTGCGCTATCGCCAACAGAAGGAATACAGTAATGATACATACGTGTAGAAGCTGAACTATAATGAAGAATATATGAAATACAGTCAAGGATCTAGGGATTACTCTCGAAAGCTAATTGAATGACAAAGCTATGTTGAAAAGATCAACATAAAGCTGCTCGATGCCTTTGGACTTGTAAAAGAGCAGTGGGTCTAAAATATAAAACTGTTTCCTAAGGCTAAATACGCCTATATAAGAGCGATAGTCGTTGGAACATGGAGTTTCGCTCCGTAAATTATTAAACTTTTGTGCCTTACGACCGGTACTACCAGTGGCGGCCTCAGACATCTGGCGCCCCCGGATATCATAAGCCTTCTCCACTTCTCGTAAAAATAAAAATATAATTTAGAAGTAGGGAACGAGACAGGTGTAAAGAAAATTGTTAATTACTTTTTTAAAATTTGTTCTTTTAAATATTTTTAACTATGTGTTCTATTTCTTTTGATGAATATAATTTAGTTGCTTTATCAATAAGCTGTTTAATTGTTGGTGATCCCCATCACCAAGCAGACCCCTCTCTAGAGTGTGCCCGGGTTACCCAACCCTCAGTCGGTACTGGTACCGCTCACTATAAGCACCACTCATACTAGTGTGGTGCCATTCTCAGGTATGTAGAAAGACTAATTAAGATGGCTCAATTAAAATTATTAATATTCTTCTAAAAACTGGTAAATGGCTTCATTTTATCCTAACCTACAACTTCTTTATTTGCGAAAATTCTCGGAATTTGAGCGTTTTCAATCGGAAGATTGGCAAACTTTTTCAATTTCATGAGGTATTAAAACTCATGAACATCCATTTGTTTTTTTTTTTACTTGAATTGTAAGATAATTTGACCGAAATCTCGAGAAAAAAGTAGTTTACACAAATGTTGGGCCGTTTGGCGTGACCTCCAATCCTAATATGTCAAAATAATGAGGTTATGTAGGCCAACAGGCAAATATGTTTGTAGGTCACCTTTTTTTTCTCAATTTTGCGATCAAATTATCTTACGATTCCAGTGGAAAGCAAATGGGTGTTATGAGTTTTTAGTACTTTATTAAATTAATTTATTTAATCAGAAAACGACCCGTTTCTGATTATTTTCGTAGATAAAACAATTGTAGTTTGCGATTAAATTAAGGTAATTACGAAGTTAAAGATATTTGAATGTTGATAAAGTGATAATAAGAGGTCTGTACCGCGGGCTAATTAGGCTTCATTGGAGAAACTCTAGCAAACAGATAAATGCCTAGCTGTTCCTTGAAGAATCCAGATCAAAGAGAAATGTGTGATTTCTTCTAATAAACAGCATTGTCCTAACGGGTTTGACAGGCCTGTATAAGGCAACTATCGGCCGAATAAACAATATTTTGGTTTCGGTTAATTCAGTCACCAATCTGCTAGTTCTGCATTATGGAGAACGAGATTACTAATCACCAAACATGTAGATGTGATTCCATTGAGGGAATATAATACTTCCATTTCGACTGTGACCGTATTATTGATCCCAAGATCTGCAATCTGATTGATTCGAAAGCGGACCGTATATGGTAAGTCAGGAATGAGTCTAAAGACTGTTAAGAATAAATTTGATCGCGGAGGTAGCTGTCCCTGTAGGTAGCCGTTAAACCGATATATTTTCTGAAGGCAAAAAAAGACCAATGTCTAAAACATTGAAAAATGAGTGAGTGAAAGAAATCAGGGTATATGTAAAATGTGACCAGACGTCTCGGTTTCGGCGGGACAACCACATTTTTAGGAAATGTGCCTAAACAATTTTCTGAGGAGTGCGCAAATGTCTAGTTTTGAATGATGTAGAAAAACCCTGATTTACCTTCCTTTCTCAACTATCAAGTGTAAAATAAAAAATACAAATAATTGCACAATGCTTTATCATTTTCAAACAGTTACCCATAAAAAATATCTGATGTAACCATTTTCTCACTTATCTTTCGAAGATAATACAAATTTGATGTCGATGATAATACATTTGGTTTATGTGGAATTTTAAGGAGTTTATAAGGAATTTTTCTACTTGCCAGTTCCAGACTCCAGCATGTTCCCAGCAAAACAATTAGGCATTAAGCACAAAAATATGTCAAACTTAAAATCGATCCAGCCGTTTGCTCAAAACAGGGTTACAAAGCTTTTTGCAAATTGATTAATTATATTATATATAATAACAGATCACTATTTTTAGCAAATTGTTTCAAAACACTCAGAGGATCTCACGGAATAATTTGAGCCATCGAAATTAAAAAACCATCCAGCGGTTCGTTCAAAATAGCGTTACATAGCTTTTAGCAGACGACGCAAACACATATTTGGGTAAAAAATTATCCAGCAAAATATTGTGACAAAAAAGTTAACAGAATATGGTCATTTACAAAACATGTCAAAGTATCGATGAACAACATTAATCCTCCAGAATCAACCGATAGAAAGGCGGAAAAGAGGACGACTCGGGGAGAGATCTGCCTGCTGCAAGACCTGGATAAAAGCATTCCGTCAGAGGTTTTCCAGAAAGATACTGACAAAACTGAAAGGAGCTAGAACTTTTAGATACTATAAGCGATTAATTTGTCGGATTATTTCAAAAAGTCACTTCGTACGTTTTTGATGAAGATGAACTTTTAAGAAAGATTTTGTGAATTTCTGTCTTATTTATTGATTTTAAAAAAACACATTTAATGAACTAAATTAACACAAACCCATTTATATATCAAATATCAACCAGCGCACAATGCCCTGATTTCACAAAGGGAAATTTCATCACTTCTTATTAAATGTCCCACTTTGAATGAAGCAAAGATACTTCGATTATCCGTCACTAGATTTGTATTTGTATGAAAAAGATAACCTTACATTCCATATCCATTCGTGTTAATTGATTTTTTTAACAAAGTAAATCTAAAAGAAATTATTATAAGTGATGACCCTCCAAAATGAAATGCTCCTTCAAAGTTGACGGACAGGGACACGGCCGGATCTACGGGGGAGGGGGAGGGGGCTTTCGGGCTGAAGCCCCCCACCCCTCCCCAAAATGGGAAAATATAACCATGTTTTATCGAAAAAAATATTAAAAAATTATCTCTCAAAGTATTATTGTTCGTGTAATTACATTTAAAAGGGCATTAGGAATCACTTAAACACCATTTCATATAGGTAGTTAGTTTCTTTCTTTTTTCCATAGTAATTATCGTTATTTTTATGAAAAAAAAAAAGCTTTCGGGCTGTAGCCTCCCCCCAAAATTAAATCCTGGAACCGCTAGTGGACAGGGAAACTATCCGTTTATAAAACTGAAGAAAAAAAAAATGAATGACGTAAGTACAAAATTTCAAACAACGCAGTGTTGAAGAAGCAATGCTGATCTTGAAGCAATATTTTTAGAAAATACTAAAGTAGGAAAGGGCGTCTTTCCCCTAATGAAAATTAATGCTTCTGACGAAAATGAATTTAGACTGAAGTTGCTAGGACTTGAATTTAATGCAATGAACCACACCAAAATTATTGGCAACAGCACAATTATTGGTAACTAAAGGGTAGAGTAATTAGCCTTAATTAATTGAATTACAGAACTATCCATGGCGTTCAAGCTTGAAGAAGTTAACAATAGAATAACATCTAGTTATTAAGGTTTGGAACTATTACTGTGTTTAGGGTTTTGAAAAAAAAAATGATTAATCATTTTTGGTAACTGCACCAATATTAGTATCCAGTAACAAATGAAAATATTTAAGATACTTAAATTAATAGGGCATATCTCTTATCATTTTGGTGGTTTTCTGTTTCTTAATTATGGTTAAGGATTTAAAACTGTAGTTTGAAAACAAAATGGACTTTTAAAGTTTAAATATATTTCAGAATTTAAAACAGGATTTGAAGTTGTGGTTATCTTTTGAAATTAGGAAATCAAATTTCACTATGATTTTCAACTCAGTGGATATAGTAGTATTCAACTCAGTACCTTTAATTAAAATAAGACATGATAAAAAACAAATTTCCATGAGGGACTCGATTGTTAACAATAAAACAAAACAATGAAGTTGTTGCAAAGGGCAAACAATGAACAAAATAGAGGAATTATGTAAAAAAAGTAATATTCAAACTATAAATGACAAAATTAACTAAATACATATAGAATGACTTAAAGAGCAAAGGGGAACAAAAGATTATCACATAATAAACAGTTCAGTGACCTCAAATATGGCAAAATAATATAAAAAGAAGAGTTCATTCTCTAATACTTATTAAAGCAATGTAACGAAATCTAAGATTAAAAAAAAAATGAATCTGAAGTAATCTAAACAATTAATAAAATAGAAGATAGCTAACTCCCAATGTTGCTATTTTAGTAATAGTTTAACATAATTGAACTACTATAATTCTTATCTGAGATAACTACAAAAAAACCTCTATAGGTCTAATGTTAAATATTGACTAAATAGGTTAAGTTAATTTTTATTCCATGTTTAATATACAACGTGAGATAGAAATTGTGATATTGCAAAGTTAATTTAATCTATACATATATAATGAATCTCTATATGAAAATCTCTATCTCTGCATAGCTAAAATACTGCCTTGGGATGTGATTTATCTTTTTTCAAAGTTGTCCAAAACTTCAAACTTTGACACCATTACAGATACCATTCTATCAGAAAATTCAAAATCTTATATGGTTATATATACTTTGGATATATATGTAGTTGGTTTAGTTATAAACCATATTTTACACTTTTTATAACTGATGGAAAATCAGAAGGAAAAAAAATATGTTGGTTTTATTTCATTTGTTTAATTTTTAATTTGTATTATTTATCTTTGTTCAGGACTTCTTATAAAATATTAATAATAAATTATTTCTCAATTTTCAGTCAGATTCAATATGCAACATTTCAAGATAACAAATCTTATCATACTGTGTAATATGATTGTGTTTGGATGCATCTTGCAAGATGTGATTCCTGTAGAAATGAGGTATTTCATGGTTATGATCTTTACTGAGGGATCTTTATGATGCTTATGGTTTGGCATGATCCATGCTAGTTGGAACAAGAATTCCAGAAAACAACTTACAAAATTCTTATAGGTATTGACTTTAAATATGAAGTTTTAATACACTGTGCATCTGACATTGTTAGGCATGTTTGACCAGTTTTGAAAGAAATTATAACTCAGTAATGCATTTCATTAAGTTGCATAGTTTTATTCTATAGATTTTAAACTGATGCCTTATATACATTTAAGCAAAGTAGGCTTCCTGTTTTCACTTATTAAACACCACGATTTTTTACATTTTGATGTTGCAACCCCATCTTCAAAAAATTTTCTATTATTCAACTTTTAGATACACTACTCGGTCAACTACATTGTGTATTTCATATAATACTTGTATATCATTTATATATATATTCAGATTATTTTATTTTTGTGCTAAATTTGTTTAACTACCATATTATTTAATCTTTATTTGTTTTCAGGGTAGAACCCCATACAAATAGAGAGTATTACAAATATTTTTTTATTTTTTTCATTTATACACTACATTACAAATATTGTGACAATATTACTACAAGAATTGCTTAAAAAACATATTTGGTAAAAAGTCAGACGGTCAAAATAATGCCAATTATATAAAATCTAAAACTCCCGTCAAACCGCATACACAATATCAATAAAAACAATAAATATATTTTATTTTTTAAATATTAATAATAACTATGTTTTAAATTTATTTAAAAGATTACTCGAATAAACAAAGAAAACAAACAAAGGACAATATTCCAGATTACTCCACCAATTCTCTATGATTTGATATATTAGAAATGAAAAAATATAATTTTCTCATATCTTCTATCATAACTACTATAGATAGTGGTTGGCTCAAATATTATCCTCCTATCAAGATTTCCTATACCCTGGTAAATTCTTACTCTTAAACTATTGTGTTTTGGGCATTTAAATAATATGTCTCTTTTTCTATAGTATTACACATTTTGCACTCAAGTTATGGAGTGAATTTCATAATTTTACTGTCAATTACATTTTGGTGTAATCTGGTATATTTGAAGTTAGTCGGCATCAACAAATACTTGGAGATCTGACCATTGTTAAAAAATATATTCAAATATTCACTATAAGCTGAGGTATTCAATATTTTCTTGTCCCCGTTCTGCAAATGTCATTTATATTTATTTAATATTCTGTCGATATTTGCTCTAATTATGGCTGAGTTGGTTTGATAAACTATATCACCTCCACCAATAGCCTCTAACAATACTTTCAGCTGAGCACACCAATTATATTTTGACAGAGCAGAATTAGATTGGTAACATTTGTTTCTTAGCTTTTCAAAACATATTTTAGGATATCTAAATTCCTCCATTTCCACAATCTTAACCAACCAATTCAAGGAACATTTCATGACATTGAAACCAATATGAATACTCTCTTTCTAATTAACAACCATATTATCTTGTTGATGTGCTCATTGTCATTGGTTTGTAATAAAATATTGCTTAACAACTAATATATAGTTTTTATATATCCATGTGATATAGTTCTAAGTATAGAAAACTTATTTGTGGGTTTATGGTTGACTTTAGTGAATAATTGATGAGGACGATGGTTGGGGTGATCAGTCAAATTAAACAGTGCTGATCAGTCATCTTCATCAAGTCATCAAGAAAACTTATTTATTTAAAAATATTCCTTCACCTATTTCATAATGAAATTACCACATCAATGTAAATTTATTTCTGTAATAGCACTTACTACTTACATATAATAACAAGTATCCTTTTGTAAGTATTTAATCAGACTATTGTACATATCTGAAGGTTTTAATAATTCTTTGGTGGATTAGGTCCCAGAATAAAATAATTTTTTCATAAGCTACCAGGAATGGGATAAATCTATGGATAAGGCTGTGGTTTTTAACTCTTGAGCTCAGCTCAGATTTCAAGCTTTACTCTGACGGAAAATTTATTTATTATAATTTCGGGGATCTGGAAAATTTGATATTAGATATGTAAAAAGACTATCAGTCACCCTTTCTGAATAAAGACCGTTTAGCAAAAGAGGGAATTAGTAGTAGAAAGTATAACCTATCGGGTATAAGTGGAACAGATTGACTCCATTGTCTACCTGGGAAGCATATTCACAAAAGTAGGTGGCTCAGCAGAAGAAGCAGAAAAGCTGAATAAAAAAGGCCAGTGGGGTTTTAATTCAGCTTTATCCAATATGAAAGAACAGAAACCTATCTAAAAACACAAAATTACGGCTTTTCAACACAAACGTGAAATTGGTCCTGCTTTATGGCAGCAAAACATGGAAACTGACCAAAACTGGGGATTTGGTGGCCAGAGTGCATATTTGGGGTCTGGAGACCCTCCTGTGGCACACCAAGCCTCTATAAACTGGATACTCTTAATTAAATAATTAATTAAGGGAGAAAACCTGGCAGTTGAGCGTGATATCAGCCTAATCACTTCCCTGCACAACCGTTGGCCTTGTAACAGTACTTCCTCATATAGTACTGCACCCAAGACCCTTCATGGGTTCTAGTGGTACAGGTTTTTTTTTTTTTTTTTTTTTTTTTTTTTTTTTTTTTTTTTTTTTTTTTTTTTTTTTTTTTTTTTTTTTTTTTTTTTATGATTAAGATATTAGCATGATAGCAGTGATGCAGGAAATACCAGATGCTGATCTGGAGCTTCCCAACAAGGAAAATGCTTAAATTCTTCCTTAACTCAGTCCACTATTACTGCTTAGCGGTGTGAGGTTCCTTCCTATAGAGCCTTCTTCAAGAATATCTACAAAGTTGCTGAAGAGGCAATAAAGTACCTAAAAAACACTAAGGACTGGAGATTGATGGAACATTCTCAGAACTGTTCAAGTATGGTGTAACTTTTTTTTTTATTTGATAACCCTATACCACCACTTCTGGTATACAGAGGGGGAAGGTAGTTCTAGAGCTACTACCAAACCTATTCTAACCAGAGTGGGATGGTCAAGTTCCATTCCATGCCACAAAATAAAAGTTAACCATTCCCATGCTGAATTTAAACCAGCATTGCTAGGCACGAGGATGCTAAAATGGACAACGCTCCAACACATTCGACCATCATAACCTCAAGGTAACAAGGTGTAACAGAACTTACAATGTTTTTATACATCATCTGCCCCATCCACAAGAAAGGAGATAACTTAGACCGTCACAACTGCTGTGGGATATTCTTACTGTTATGTGCATACAAAATCTATTCTATAATCCTCTTTCAGAAGTTACTCCCATCCATGGAAAGAGAAGTAGGAGTATATCAAGCTGGAGTCATTAGAGGGAGAGCTACGATTGACCAAATTTTCTTAATTAGAACGATTCTTGAGAGGACCAGAGAGGACATATTACTACCTTTTCATTGATTATCAAAGGGTCTGAATACTTTGAAACATATAAAGGATTGCGCCAAGAGGATTTTTTGGCATGTCTCCTATTCAACATTGCTCTAGAATGTGCAGTTGGGAAATCATAAATACAAATCAGTGGAACGGTTTATAATTACTCACAGTACAACTGTTAGTGTTTGCCAACGATTGCATTTGTTGGGAGATAAAAACCAGGAGGAAGCCTTTATAGCCCTGCAAAGTATAAATAGGCTTAAGTATAAATGTGAATAAAACTAAATTTATGCGGATCAATCCAAGGGAATGAGGTACGCATTGCAGATACATTGACAGCTTGGACCACTTCAACTAGCCATTGCAAACTCAGTCTGCCTCCTCTTCTGCTTCAGTCCAACTTTCTTGCAGCTTTTTAGCTGGATCTTCCTCACTCATTCTAACTACATGACTGACCCACTTCAATCAGTTAATTTGTATCCAAGTAATAATGTCAGATACTCCAGCATATCTTATACTTCCCTGTTGGTACGGTCTTTTCCATTCTTTCAAAGGTAACTATTTCTTTTTCCTTGGTATTTGATGTAGTCCATGTTTTGGAGACATATGCAAGCACCTATCTAACCAGAGTTTTATATAAAATTATTGTTATATGCATGGGCAAAATGGGCTCTTTAGAAGACTTCAAATCCATCAGGAATAGTGCTTAATGATATTAAGTATTCCTTTGTCTACCACCAGAGACACAACATTTGAGGTATTTTTAATAATTCCTAAATAAGTGAAATTATCCACTTTATGTAACTTTTTAAGGGCCTATTTCTACTAACTCCTGGATTTCATTTGTTGTAGATTCACCTGTCCTGTGATAGTTTTTCTTCATTAATGTACAGACCCATTTTCTCTGCCACCCGCAACAGTGATAAGAAAGCTTTTTTCAATGCTGATAATGAACAAGCGGTAATGTCCAAATCATCTGTATTTTCTTACAGTTGTAAAAGCCTGTTGTAAATTGTGTTATTGGTGCGGCTTTTTGACTTTTGAACTATCTGCTGTTGAATAATAGGAATGCCAGACCATTGCCTCACCTCGCACATCTTAGTCTTCAATTGAGAAGAGAGATCCCCTTCATTCGGATATTACAATTTGTTTTATGCAAAACCTCCTAGATAATCTCCTATTTCTTTTTTGGCATACGATACAAGCTTCTGGTAAAGAATATTAGACAATTCCTTGCATACACATATGCACCAAAATAAGCTAATCGTTAGCACAATCTCCATGTCTTCCTTTTTATATGATTTAATTGGGCATATTAGGATTTTCATCAATTTCTTCACCACATTCTCTTCGACCTATATGAATCAATGACTACAGGCAACAAATTCACTAAGTTTCATCAGGGGTGCCCAGAAGGGGGTTTCATGATGTAAGTTGCATCATCAAAAGTTTTGAGGTGGGCACATTTGACGGGGTTTTGAATTTTTGAGGGGGGCACATTTCTACAGGATTATGAATTTTCGGAATGAAAAGTTTCAAACCAGGGGCAATATGAAAACATGGAACAGAATACAGCAAGTGTATTTGTATACGGCCTATGATTTTTAAATTCTATTTTGCTAGCACTATTTTTAAGA